CTGGGTACGCGGATGTTTATTTTCAAATTTTCTTTTTGGGCCTTGACCTTCGAGTTTCGATGAGTTAGCTTGATAGCTCTTTCCCCCATAAGAGCGATTTCCATTTCTGGTTTCCTCATTTGAAGATTTCCTTCGGGTACTTTGAGAATATGTTTCCCCTCTCGCTTTTTCCGCTATTCTGCGATTTTGAAACTTCACCGCCAATTCGAAGAGTTCCTGCAATGTGCTTGGGTTTCTAATTTCAAAGTAGTCTTGAACAGCGGGTAACAATCTTGGCAAGATTATTTCAATAATCTCCGCATCGGGTTTCTTCCCATACAGCATATCCGTTAGCTTAATTTTTCGTAGAATAAAGTCCGTCAATTCTGCTATATCCCGTTGATAGAAACTATATAGTTCGGCTTCCAGCCGTGCGCGATCTTTCACTATGGGGAAGGCCTTTACTAACGATTTTTTGAAATTTTCAAATGTATATGTCTGCCTTCCAAATTCCCCTAATAAAAATTTGCCTATATTTTTCCACCATAGCGCGGCCTGTCCTCTTAGTGCTGATGTGGCGATGGCAACTTTTTGTCTTTCAGGAACAGGGTAGAGCTGAAAGTGGTTTTCTAGACCTTCTAGAAATACCGCCACCGAATTTTTTCCGTCGAAATGGACGTTTGGCTTGATTGACGCTCTCAAAGTCTGGACCAGGTATCCAAATCCTTCCAGTTGGCTTGTATTTCTTGAAGTTGTCCAGCGGTTTCCATCCAATTTTCGGCCATTTCAGTTCGATAAGTGTTCGGGCGCCAATGTAGCGTTGCGCGCCTCCAACTTGCACGCAACCAAGAGGTGACTGTGAAAACTGTATAAAAGACAGAGTCTTGTGAAGGGTTTAAGTCCCTTTTTATTCAACGTAATAAATTACAATTGCGTGCTCTTGACGCTCACAGACTGCGCCAACTCGGCGGTCAAATAAAAATAATAACCTGAAAAGAAACTAAAGACAAGACTCTATATACGAGGCTCTCTAAAAATAACTAACTCACCGCGTTTTACAATACCGCTGCTAATTCAGCAGACTTGAAGCTCACTTGAACGATTAACACTACTTCCCGCCAAGCACATAGGCCGACACGCGGGGTTCTTCAATTTCTCGCTAACTACCTCCGCGCTCGTGAAGTAAGAACATCACACCCCGAACTCGTTTCCTTTCTATTTAAATCATAATACTTCCGCTGATAATTTGAATCCTTGCGCGTTCTACTAAAATTTACATATTCTGGCATTGGCAGTTCCAGGGGAAAGTAAGGCTTGACAGGAAAGATAGTTTAAACTTAAAATAAATGTTAGTTAAAATAAATATAAACCCTACAATATGTTACAAAGAAATTCCAGGAATAAAAAAGAATAATTCAGAAACAAATTAAGAATCATGAAATTAATATAGAATATGAGATATGCCCTGACTTATACACACATATTAAAATGTATTTTCATGCCGCCAATAACGTTGTTAATCAATGTTTGGAGAACCAAGTTCCACCACTCCTCCAGAAATGCGATCTTCAGGGCATTTACACCTGCAGTAGGCAAATGTCTCCGTGCAATTGCTTTTAAAGTGAGTTTCATAAGTTTTCTATCGGGTTAAGATCAAGAGATTTTGCTGAGCACGGTATTAAATCAATGTTATCATTTTCAAAGAATTAGTCAACGAGATTTTTCTCGATGTAGATGAGTACCATCGTCCAGTAATAGAAAGTCAGATCCCTATGCTCCTCTGAAAAGTCTTATATCAAATTTGATCTTATTCCGATATCTCACAGATCTGCTGCTGAAAATGTGTAGAGGCCCGCATTAATCGACCATTTCTCCACTTATACACCTGCATTACAGAAACGGTCACATTCCATAACGTTCTAAAGATTTCGCGTTTCTGACTCCAGATGTAAACACATATAGAATCAAATATTAAACTAAACCTCGGCTCTGGAAAGAGACTTAAAGGAGGACATACTAGTTATTTTTCCGTCTCAGGAAAGAATACTTGGGATCACTGATGGTGTTCACTTCAGTTACTACAGGCAGCTATTGCTAGATATCGATCTTGAGAAGCGGATATTATTCGCTTACGACCTTATCCAGGCCTGCTTACAAGAATAATATAGTTCTGAAACTGTTGCCACAGCGTAGAGACTGTTTGTCTAGAAACATTCACATATCTCACTTCTTCCAGAATTGTCTACATTGCGTGTAAATGGCCGATAATTCTCCAATTCACAGATTCTTTCAAATGAGACTTTGGAGCCATAATAATCCATTTTGAGTGCTTACACACTGAAAGCAGACGCTGTATTGCAGAAATTCACTCATATATTTACTTTAATTAAGATTACTCAGATATTAAGCGCTTGATTCACCATCAGATAACGTGACACCTTGAATTTGTATATCAAAACCCGTTTCATTATTTTTGATTGGATAATGCTAACTAGACTTGTCTTTTACATATTCTCTGCAGAAATGGATTATATATTGATCGATTGTATATTTCATTGTATATTACTATTTTTTTTTATTTTTGGTATATCGTATTTGGGTATGTAAAGATAAATTTGGACATGAGAGTATCATAACAATTTCTACTCTAATTTTTGATACCCTACCTTAAATTATTTTATCATTCTGTTTAGTCCTTCATCTCTGATTCCAATATGAATCTCAGGAATAACTTAAAAATTCTCCTTCTTAAAAGTATAATAGATAACCATTTTTTTTAATTGGTTACACTTTGTTTTTGGATAATTCCAATTCTTACAATATCATATCCTGGGTACAGATGTTGACAGACACACCGCCGCCAAATTTGGTGATTATGACTGGAATTGCAACCATGAGATTTTGTATCGTATGGCAACTCCTTTAATGAAAAATGAATTTTTTACATTTTTACAAAATAATTTAACGTTGTTTTCCTTTTTCCGAAGGGTATGAGCCCATGCTTTTACATCTTTTTTAATTTACATGTTTGGTTTACATTTCGCGAATAACAAGTCTGCGAAAACTTTTTATCAACTCAGAGCATCTGGCACATCTGTTCCATATCCAATCCAATAATCTTTAGTAGTCTTCTGGTTGCTTACCGAAATTTTTCTCTTTGTTTTCTTTAATCCTTACCAAAAACGAATAATACTCTTCTGTTGTAAATAAGTAATGATTCCCCCCCCCGATTTTCAGCTGTTTCATTATAATTAGCATGGTCATTAAATCGTGTCTTCAGTGCTCCAAAATCCCTAAAACTTACATGTAACGTAAAATTTGTGTGGCTATAATTAAACAATTGTGCATGTCTTAGCAATTAACGACTAAAGCAACATCAGACTGACAATAAATAACTTAAATTATCGAACGTGCTTGACGCAGTAATATTTAATTCCTAAGCAGGCGCTATGGCTAGTTTCAAACTGACGCATTAAAAATTACTACTTTCAACATTCCTAATTGCAAATTATTAATAATCACCAAATCGTCCAATAAATTCTTATACATTAATCGCCTTTTATTTCATTTTTATTAATATCAGCCGGTTATTATTAAAGCAAACTGATTAATCACTTTTAATATAACATTTACAGTTTCAAAAAAAGAAAAATTATTCATTACTGAAGGTTGGTGTTGGTGTATTTTATTATGGCAAAGCACACTAGGGCTATCTGCTTAGGGGAGGGATGCCTTCGTGGAGGACTTTCTAAGGGAAACTGGCTCGTATACACGTTACACATGGGGAAAACCACGAAAACGCCCATGCAGCCAGCCCGTTCGCGGGATTCGAACCTTGAACCGAACTACCAGTTGGTGTTAAGCAACTGGTAGTTCGGACTACTGAAGGAATCTGCTACTTAGAATGTTATGTAGTTTCTGATCGAAAATTCAAAAAATGATTTATTTATTCATATTAATAAAAGCCAAAATCTTGTAGATAATTCAGAAAAAAAATTCAAAAATAATTTTATAACCTATATATTTAATTTTATGAGAGAAATTAAAATAAACTTGTCAATAATGACAAAATAGGTAACAAAAATTTTAGTTATTTTACGTATTTACTCCAAAAACTGGGTGACTATTAAAATACAGTGATTTGAGGAAAGATTGTTTATTAATTAATTATGATAAAAAAGAAATTAAAAAAATTAAAATGTAGTAATATGAAGAAAATAACATGCTAACAAATTTATCATTTATTTGGTTATATTCCTTTGTATGAGCTGAGTAATTTACTTAAATTGCCAAGCAACTATTGATTTATCATAAACATTACTAGTGTAAGTAATATCATATTCAAAAGACAGAAAAAAGTTGATATACTATTTAAAGAAAAAAATTCAAAAAGACATATTTATAGGTATTTCTCCCGTCTTCTTGGCATGCCTTCGTGGTGTGGTGGTCTGCATCCTGGGCGCGTATTCTAGAGGTCCTAGGTTCGATTCCCGGCGAAGGCGTTGCTCAATTTTCAAGTCTCCTACTTCCAAAAAAATCCCAATGTCTCTACACTTTCGCCCGAACTAAAAGGATGGTGAATGATGATTCTCCCAACCCAGGATTTGGCGATTGGTTCCCAAACAATCCCAACAAAGGGGGAAGTATATAAGGTAGTTCACCGCCTTCTTGGCATGGTGTTCGTGGTGTGGTGGTCTGCATGCTGGGCGCGTATTTCAGAGGTCCGCGGTTTGATTCCCGAAGAAGGCGGTTGCTAATTTTTCATGACTCTTGCTTCCAATTAACCTAATGTCTTTACATATTTAATAAAAAATAAAATATCATTTACAGCAACATAACAATTTTTATCTTCTTTTTTATTTGTTTCAGAAATGAATGAAGCATTTAAATTAAAAGCAAATATATATATATACATAAATATATTATTTATGCTTTTTAAATAATACATAAACATTATTGAATTATTAGCAAGAAATACATATTAAACATTTCAATGGAAACACCAAAATATTATCACTTACCCATGGCGAACAATCATCATTTCATAAGTTTGAATAATTTTTAAAATAAAAGTATCAGACATTTGAAGATTCATTTTCTCACAGATTTCAGCAGTGACATCAAGAAAAGTCTGCAGAATAAATAAAAAATTAGGCTCGGAAACTTTAAATAGTTTTATTTCCCTAGATTTCAACATTTATAAAAGCAGTGATTCAAAATGAAAACATTTCTTAATTTTTAGCTTATTCAAATACACATCACAGAAAATCAGCTAAAAGGACATATTTTACTATGATACAAATCTTGTAGTGAGTAACGCATCTGAATACATCTAAAATTGGCACTTTTTTTTTACCAACGATTTCTCTCTATTTTTAGTTTACTACTTTCTACCTTAAATATATATAGATATGTCATTTACTGTAGTTGAAATACAGTTGATCTAGTGTTCTTTCGAATAGTAAATATGCTTTCTGCCAAACGAAAGAAACACAGTGACAGTTTTAAATGCAAAGTCATTCAGTTTGCGAAAGAAAATGGAAATTGTGCTGTAAGCAGGACGTTTGGTTTAAATGAAACTCCTTACATAGGTAGAAGAAAAAATTAAATTACAATAATTAATATGCCAAAGAACAAATGTGATTTGCGTAAAAAGTAACGAAATTGCCTGTCCTAGATGAAAAGGATAATTTGCGATCTGTCCTAGAGAATCGACAGAATGGACTAATTTTAACAATGTACGTTTATTTGCTTTAAAGTAGGCAAAAAAAGGATGCAAATAAAAGAGAAAACTCAAAGCAACTTTAATTTGGTGTGATTTACGGCAGCGAATAATTTAGTTCTCCGAGAAGAAAAAAAAGTTTCGCAAACGCTTCCGAAAGATTTGGACAACACATTCATAAGCTTCCAGAAATGCGTTTCTGACCTACGTAGGCGAAAAAAATTATTCACTGTCATATACTGAAAATATGGATAAAACTCCCGGAATAGGAAATAAAACAACTGATGTGAACGAATAAGAACGATTCAAATAAAAATAGCAAATCACGAAATTCTCACCTCAGCGTAGTGCTCACCCGTTTAATGGACGGTACGATACTAAAATCTATGGTTGTTTTTAAAAGAAAGAGGATGTCGAAATGTAATTTCCCAAATGGTGTTCATTCAATGTTCACGAGAAAGGATGAATGGACAAAACGATGCAAAAGCTTGAATAAGAAATGTTTGCTAAAAGCGCCGTGCCTAAAGAATCCAGAAAGTCTTTTAGTTTGGGACACGTTCAAATTCCATCTAACGGATAACACTAAGAAAGAGATGAAAGAGGATCTGATGAAGAGGACGATTATTATATTCAGATTAACGCCAATATAGTTTCAGCCGTGTGTGTCAATAAAATATTCAAAAGAAATTTAAAACGACAGTGGAGTACGTGGGTGTTAGAAGGTGGGAAAATCTTTACAAATTGAGGTCAAATACAATATGGCAGTCTAGAAATAGTGCGCGAGTGGATAATAAAATCATGGAATGAAATTAAACTCGACATAATTCAAAAGTCATTTAAAAAGTGTAGTGCATCTAACAATCCAGATGAAACGGAAGGTGATTATTTATTTATGGATCTGAATAACAGTAATGGTAAAGATCAAACAGAATTCTAGGATGTGCCTGAAGGTATAACGGAAGAAGAAGATGATGAACTTTTCATGTTATTTGATAATGAATATTTTGAAATTTATAAGGTACTCATTTTTTTAAGTGTCGCTCAACCGGGATAGTGGTTATTGACTCTGACTACCGCACCGAAGAACCCGGGTTCGAATCCCGAAGAAGGCATGGATGTTTGTAAATGTATAGTGTCTGTACGGCATGGGAGAACTCTAAATGTGCGGCAAGGTGAAAATCCTCTCGAGAAGTTGGTGATAGGGAAAAAGGGGTGGGAGACACTCGAACTCGTCTCCCTGGGGTGCTCTCTCTCAAAACTGGCGGGCGGAATCGAGCAAAGTCGCCTGTATGGTGCCCCAGGCTCTTGACAACGAAAGGCCACGATGAGATTCGTGGGCTTGATCTGATTTCACACAAGTGAGAAAAGTCAGCAACAACAACACCATTTCTTTTAAACAAAGAGCACTTACATACATGTAGAAACCTCATTTCTTTAAGCTCATCTCTTCCTTATTTTTAAATCTATCGGTTTTACATCTGGCATATAATACGCAACCGTAAATTTCGGTCTCATTTTTTGCATTAAAAGTAAGCGTATTTATATTGCTATAACCGGACGTGTTTCTAACTGCACTAGGAAGGCACGCGGTGAGGAAGGAAAATGTTCCTTACATTCTCCTCCACTTAAAGAGCGAAGAGAAAGGATGGAGACCTAGTCGCCAAATCCCGATGGTGACAATTTATCATCTAACCAATTTAAATCGAGAGCCATCGTAAAGCTATTACCATGTTAGATATTCATCAGAGAAAAAGAAATGGGAGAAAGCAGAAATGCCTTCGCCAGGATTCGAGCTATGGATCTTCCATCTGCCAGCCGGGTAAGCTACCAATTACACCAGGAAGACAAGCGGTGAGGAAGGAGAAAATTCTTTATAATATCACTTTAATGTTTGCTAACTTTAATAAACTACTTTATTGGTATTCCTACGTCAGTTTCTACATGTGCATATTTTTTTAAATAATTATTTATTTTACATACTTATTAAATACACATAAATTCAGTTCTGTAAAATAAAAGACCATACTTGGAAATATCAAACAAGCACATAGAAATGAATTAGAAGGAACGTACCACAATTTTAGGGCAGTAGAGCCTCTACATCTGTTAATAATACACTCCAAGACCTATTACAATATTATTAAACTGCAGATAATAGCAAATGCTATATATAAGGTGCTTGCAAAAATAGCTACAGATTTTATTAGACCCGTACTTTTAACGACAAAATTTCAAAAGGGTGAAGATGCACTGCACATAAAAAAATAAATAAATAAATAACAACAGTTTCCATACAGATAATTAATACAAATAGCTTCATCAATTTTGCTTATAAAGAAATAGTTCCTTTTTAATTTATTATTAAAAGAAATGACTTTTTATAGAGACCACGCAGACGTTATGAATTTGTATTTAGCAAAACTTTCATTCGCCGAGTTTGAAATCAGTTTCACGGAATTCTTTAAATTATTTTGAAAAATTCTGCAATCGAAAGTGCGTATTTAGTATCAATATTTAAGGAAATAAATATACACTTACCTTTTTTTCAAACACATTGCATAACCCATTATTTGTGCATCACACATAACTAGGGCTAAATGTATTGTTAACTTGTGAATGGTAAAATATTAACAATAATATATTATGCTTTTTTTTTTTTTTTTTTTTTTGCATTGGACATTTACAGGTATTTTATCTTTTTTGATAGCGATGATAGAATAATGATGATATAAGAGATAACAGAACAATGAAATCAAATATATAAAAAATAATCTTTTCAAATTACAAGGTTTTAACGGAATGCGCTGAAAAGTGAAAAATAATTTTTAGCCATTGTATTGTTCTTGGCTATATATCATGACAAACATAACCGTGGAACTGCAAGCAATCCCTTCTTTTAAATAAAACCTATCAAATAAAAACTTAAACGAACTGACTGTAATCAGAGACAAATTTATCATTTTAATATTATCACTTCACTTGTTCTTTAAAATTCTGTAAACAACCTAATATAATTCGTAAATAAGATCTGAATTTTTGTCATATATGTAAAAGATCGTTACGTAAGCTAAAAATTACTTTTTAAAGCATTTAAATAAAAACCTTCTAATTTTTTAGTTTATATAATGTTTAAAATTAAATGGCCAAACATTTGTTTCTCAAGCATATACTGCATGAAATGTGGAAAAGCAACAAAAAAAATCTGAAGTGTACACCACATGACTTCCTTGTACGGAATATTAAATTATACGCATATTTTCTTGCATTTCATTTAAACTTATTGGATTGAATTACATATACTTCGTCGATAGCTCATAAACCACAATAGAATAAATGCACGCTTTAAAATTCACTATATTTGTTTACCATAGCGACACTCAGGTGCTAGGTTCACTTAACAGCGTTATATTTCGTCCATATTATAACTCAGAATGCACAAAATTTATATCATTTGAAGAATTATCTAATCGTTGCCACATGTTCTATTCAAATACTGTAATAAATCTAGAACGATGTATAAAAGCAATTAAGCAAAAAAAAAAAAAAATTTTTACAGGCGATTCAGTATTTCTCATTCAATTAGTTCAGTTCTCACTTCGCGACAAGGCAAAAATACATAAAAGCTCAAAATATCTCTATTAAAAATTTTGAAGTAAATCTTAAGCACTTATTATTTCCTCGAAAAAATTCCAGAAAGGATTAAGTATAATTTAATTCGTAATAATAAATGAAGGCGTTATCTTTGTTGCTGCGAAGCTTAGTCTTTCTAGATTGGCAACAAATCTACTATTCTGCTGTTTCAAATGTAAACAAATATGTCCGCCATGTTATTTAAAAATTAGGCTGTAGAGACATTAGGTTAATTGGAAAAGCCGGAGAGATGAAAAATTAACAACGCCTTCGCCGGAAATCGAACCGTACCTCTTGGAATACCGGCCCAGTGTGCAGAACCACTACACTACGAAGGTACGCTAGGAAAGGGGGAGAAATACCTTATAAGGCTTAACCGTACTTAAACAGCTTTTAAATTGTTAATAATTGTACAAATATTGCTTGCAGATTTCCTAAAGGCATAAAAACCTTAACCGGAAGATAAGAACAACATAATTCAATGAATTTTAAAGCAAAAAAAAAAAAAAAAAATGTACAATTTACACACATACAAGAGTAAAGAAACTGAGATCACTGAGCCGGGTAACAGAGTGGATATATATATAAATATATTTATACACGTTTGGTGTGGCCGATAGCAACCAAAATACGAGGTGCACATCTACATGTTAATTAGCAGTGTATATATACAAAATTTCAACGTTCTGAGGCTACTCATTTTTTACTTATGCGAGATACATAGGTACGTACGTACACCACGAAAAATTCTCTTCAGAATTCATTTGAAAACAGTTTTATCATTTTTTTTTTGGAGGAAAGGAGGCTTTTATTCTGTCCTTACGTACGGATGTCACACAAAAACATCGTTAAATTTCCTTCGATAGCGGTAAAAATGGATATTTTCGTTTAAATATGCTGCCTGAAACTTTTCGCGATTACAATACTTCCTTATTACTTCGTACAAGGAAGTAAAAAACGACAGCCTCTTAACATAGTAAAATCATTCCTTCCAGTCCAGCTTAGGATGCCATTAAGCTCATTTAAATTTCTGTTTGATTTGTCTAATCATCACATAAAGTGTTGAGGCTGCTAATAATGGAGGATTAAATCTCGTTTTATAAAAATCCCTCAATTTTAGCTAATTAATAATAGTTAAAAATATATAACAACTTTTGAAAAGCTGCCAAAATTTGGCAAATTAATTTTTTAATTTTCAAATGACACCTTGGCGAGCCTTTATTGCTCTATCTAGTGATGAAAAAGTCAAAGTTCTGCAATGATTAGTTTGACCGTTAAAAAAGTATTTGCGTAACAAATTCACTGCTAAATAAAAATATTATAATGAAAAATATCGTATGACTGGGCTATAGAAATCTGCACTAGAAAATTATACTTTATATAGAGCTTAATTATTATACAACAATGTGCATAACTATAATATAAAAAAAATTACTTGATAATCAGGTTTAGGAAGCGTGACTCCTGGAAACAGATCTGATATAATTCCTTCAAACAAAGGTATATCATGCGACAAAAATTTTGGTAAATTTACATCAAGTATAGATCGCAAAAGCTGAAAATCACAAAAAGTATGAATTAATTTTTGAAAATAATTGGCAAAACAATCACAAATATTTTATATACAGTATTTACTTACTTTTCACATGATAAATGCTTAGTAATAATTTTTCATGAACGCTATTAACGGGATTTCCATTATTAGCCCAAAGAAGCGTTGGCCCAGAAGGGCTAGTCTCGAAATGGCATTTGGCATCGGTTCACCATAAACGGCGTATTACTTTTTAAATTGTTGCCGCTAAAGACTATCGCCGTGTATTTATATTTAACGAAATTAAGTAATGAAGAATCTGCATGAATATATGCATGTCTCTGAAAAAACGACGGTACCTAGAGCCATAAAATTTTGAATAACGTAACCCTTCACCTGAACATAAGCCCCTGGAAGCCCGGATTTTGAATCTAGAATTTGGTTTATTATCTATTACATATTTTGTAAAACTTTAATGAATTTTTGATTGACAAACTCAGATTTCAAAGCGAACAGTGGCAACACCGAAGGGAAATAAACATTTTTAACTTCAGTGAGCGATACCGTCTATCGGAAAATCTAAAGATATGTTGTTTTTAAGTATTTTATGATACTGCTGTTGAATTGAATTTTATGTAGTTTAATTACGAAGAAAATGATATTAGATAAATAAAGGTAACACACAAAACGTTAAAAAAAAGGTCCCTCTCGGCGTAATATGAAATCTGAAAGCTTTCAGATTTTTTTAATAATAAATGATATAATATACTATATAAATAATACTTTTCGGTGACTTTATTTCCATTTAATTTATAGTATCGGCTTTTAAATGCTTTATTGAATACATATATAATCAGACAATAAATAATGCATATTTTTGGAAACATTTCACCCCAGTTCTACATTTCAAACAACACACAACTTATAGATTCAATACTTCTAGAAAATTGCACAGATTAAACGACGTACACTGTGCAAAAAGAAAAAAAAAAAAGGGACAGTTCTTATAGCTCCCGTTCTACTGGGTCGATTGACGAAATTCAAATTGCGTTCTTCGTGTCTCGAAAGCGCAACTTAGGATATATATTAGATTTATATATAGCTCTATTCTAACATAATTGTTTTGACACAAAATCGGACTTTTCTGAAATAACATATCAATTTTTTTCCATATTTCGATTCTACAACTCAAATTATGCCTAGATATGAAATTTTGTAAAATTTGGTGCGAAATTTACGGAGACATTCACAAGTTTATGTTGGCGCTTTTTTTTTTTTTTTTTTTTTTTTCTTTTCAGTTGTGCCAAGAATAGTTCACTTGGCGAACGTCTTAACATATGGCAACCTATTTTCCTTTACCGTGAGTGGGAAAAAAGTCACAATCGTTCCTTTTTACTTCCTTGTACGAAGTAAAAAGGAAGTATTATAATCGCGAAAAGCTTCAGGCAGCATATTTCAACGAAAATATCCACTTTGACCGCTTTCGAATGCAATTTAACGATGTTTTTGCGTAATATCTATACGTAAGGACAGAATAAAAGACTCTTTTCCTCCAAAAAAAAAAACTAAAAAACTGCTTTAAAATGAATTCTGAAGAGAATTTTTCGTGGCGTCTGTACGAACGTATGCACCTACGTACGTATTTCGCATAACTCAAAAACGAGTAGCCTCAGAACGTTGAAATTTTGTATATAAGACTACCATAACATTTAGATGTGCACCTCGTATTTTGGTTTCAATCGGCCGCGCCAAACGTATATAAATATATTTATAAATATATCCACTCTGTTACCCGGCGCAGTGATCTCAGTTTCTTTAGTCTTATATGTTTGTAAATTGTACATTTTTTGCTTTAAAAATGATTGAATTATGTTGTTTTTATCTTCGGGTTAAATTTTTTATGCCTTTCGTAATTCTGGAAGCAATATTTGTACAATTATCAACAATTTAAAAGCTGTTTAAGTGCGGTTAAGTTTTAAATAACATGGCGGACATATTTGTTTACATTTGAAACAGCAGAATTGTAGATTTGTTGCCAATCTAGAGACACTAAGCTTCGCAACACAAAAATAACGCCTTCATTTACTATTGCGAATTAAATCATGCTTAATCCTTTCTGGAATTTTTTCGAGGAAATAAGTATTTAAAATTTACTTCGCAATTTTTAATACAGATATTTTGAGTTTTTATGTATTTTTGCCTTGTTGCGAAGTGAAAACTGAATTAATTTAATGAAAATTAATTATCGTCTGAATTAATCGTCTGTAAAAAACTGTTTCTTTTTCGTTTTGTTTGCTTAATTTCTTTTATACATCGTTCTAGCTTTGTTATAGTATTTGAATAGAACATGTGGCAACGATTAGATAATTCTTTAAATGATATAAATTTTGTGCATTCTGAGTTATAATATGAACGAAATATAATACTGTTAAGTAAACCTAGCGCCAGAGTGTCGCTATGGTAAACAAAGTGAATTTTAAAGAATGCATTTATTCTATTGTGGTTTATGCGCTGTCGGCGAAAGTAGGTTTAATTCAATCTAATAAGTTAAATGAAATGCAAGAAAATATGCGTATAATTTAATATTCCGTACAAGGAAGTCATGTGGTGCACACATCAGATTTTTTCAAATAATGTTCTTCATATTATATTTTTAATTATAATTGTTATTATTTTAAGTATTTTTTCTTTTTCGAATTTCATTTTAATTATTTAAGTTGCATGGTTTCTTTCGAATAACTGTTTTAAAAATTTCTATTTACCTATTCGAGCTGCGTAGTTTAAATGAAAGGTGGAGCGTTTATTTTTTTCAAATAGTTTTTTTACAATTTTTTTGTCATAGTTATTATTTTAGGTTAGTTTTAAATATTTAGACTTTTATTTTAATTGTCTGTGTCGCATTGTCTCTTCAGATAATTGTTTTAAAATTTTCTGTTTATTTATTCGAACTGAGGATTTTAAATATATTTAATATAAATTTTCCAGGATTTGGTTTTATTGATTTGAATTGCGGTTCTTTCGGAAGAATACTTTGTGTCCCAGACTACGGTGCATCTGAAAACTGAATACATTAAAGAGAAAATGCATTAAAGCATAGTTAACACGCCCTTCAGTGTTCCGTTCAGAAAAGATATATAAATGAGAAAGATGCATAAACGACATTTTAACTTAGGATAACTTACATATATTGCTTTAAATAGCTTTAAGATTGTGCTCATTGCTTTACACAATTTTATCATCCTACATTTAGTTTCTTAAAATGCTATTCATATTTTAGAAGTCGCAAGAATCAAATATCATAAGATTAAAAAGTTTTAAATTAAAAAGAATACTAAATTTTGTGTAAAAATTTATTTTTTCTTCTTAATGGCTTGCTCTTTTTCTACAGGCATTCTGAAAGTATATTAAAAAGCATCCAACTTTTCGAAATATTTTGGTATTTCTGACATCCATTTTAAATAAAGTTCTCGCCTTCCATTTCATAAGGGCCCACAAACGGCCGAACAGTAAAGTCGCTGAACACTAGAAGTTCACTCCATGGTTCGAATCCCGGCGAACGGGCTGGTTGCATACGTGGTTTTTCTCACTGTAACGTGTATGCCAGCTGGTTTCCCTTAAAAAGTTCTTCACGAAGACATCCCTCCTTTTAGGCAGATAGCCCTGCCTTGCCATAACTTAATAATCCAATTCAATCCATTTCATCAGTATTTGGTCAGAGCCTTTATCAGTGTTTAGAGGCTAAGCATTTTGAAGGCATGAGATGAAAGGAAAGAATGGTGTCATCAAGAGGGAAAACGTCTTTAGGTGACATTCAGAATACATCACTGGATAAATTCCTGAATATTCAAATAATTCGACTAAGAAATCATGGGATTCTCCGTTTATGATGATACGATGTTCTATAACGTAATTTAAATTACACAAACATATAGTCGAAAACCAGTCGCTCTTCACTTTAATCTGCAATGATATCGTTTTTGTCTTTTCCGTTAGCACAAGGTCAGTTTATGGTATTTGCTGGTGTACGCATCCAAGTGTTTTCTCTTTGAACACCCAAATTCCTTGAAATATTCTGAAAGTATATTCAAAAGCATCCAACTCTTCGAAACACCTTGGTATTTCTGACAGCCAAATTTCCCTTCAAATTTTTGATTACTTTTCTCCCTAATTTTCTTCTTTCCTTCTACATTTATTTTCAGTGCTCACCACAAGAAATTTAAGATTTTGTTACATTTCCATAAATTTGCATTCTTGTCGATTTTTTTAAAATATCAATTACATCAACTGCTTCAACAAGTTGAAGACAAGTTAAAGACATCAACAAGTTGAAGACAGCTTTTCATTTTCTAAGCATTTTAACTATAAATAAAGTTTAAAGCAAAGTCCAAAGGATAAATATTTTAATTAAAAGATTTTTGCTAAATGACAGATAAAAAAACAGTGCAGCAGTGTTTATTCTATACCACTGAGTAACCCGATTATTATATCGGCTACAAACCATCTAAATCATATTAAATATCATGTTTTTTATACAATCTATAACACGACAGAAAATTAGCTACTTTAAACATTCTTTCGAAGAGGAATACTGCAAAAATTTATACTTATATATATAATTTGTAAAGCTGGGACATGACCCAAACTTTCAACGTCCCGTTTGCTTAAAAACATTGTGAAAATAAACATCAAACGAACTTTCTCAGTTTTAGATAATTCAATTTAAATGCAGTCAAAGTAAAATAGCAGACGATAACACGGCGAAGGTAAAAATTTACTCTTACAAATATTTAAAAAAAAAAAGGAAGAAAGAAAGAAATTTTAAAAAAGTTAAAATTTGAATAATATTAATATCATCTATAATTTTAAAAAAATAACTTTTCATATAGTATTAATAAATATTTATTACGCCTCACTAAGGGAAAAATGTCATATCATTAATTCTCCGTAAAAATTTATTTGAAATTTGAAGTTAATAATATCTGTGGCAATTCACTGTAACAAAAATCCATAAACCAAATTTGGCGTTATTATCGCTCAAAAAAAATATGCCAAATTTCAGTACGCGAAAATATGTAAATTCGTGTATATATTAGGGAATTTTGAATAAAAACTGTAATTTTTTGCAGGTATGCTTATAACTACACCTACTTTAAGATGATGGTAAAATTTTATAGGTTATAATTCGAAATGTTTTTTTTTGAAAAATTTATCAAAATTATTTAAAAAATAAAACATAAGAAATGGGTGAACTTTATTTGGAATGAGCCTAAATTTCGAAATCTGAAAGGAAAAATAAAAAAAGTTTTATCAAAAAAGAGATATTATTAATAAATATATGCCAAATTCAATTAACATTGAGGAGCTAATTTTTTTAAAACGACTCGTGCGACTTTTACGCAACTTGGCAGTGTGGTATAATTTGAGTCGTAGAATCGAAATATGGAGAAAACGTGGTATGTTATTTCAGAAAAAGTCCGATTTTGTGTCAAAATCGCTATATTAGAACAATGCTATATATAAATCTAATACATATTATCCTGAGTGGCGCTTTCGAGACATGAAAAACGCAATTTGAATTTTCGGCCCAGTAGAACGGGAGATATAAAACTTTTTTTTTTTTTTTTTCCAGTGCGCATCCGGACAGTAATGGTCATGTTCAGAAGTTTAGCAGTACATATTAATTGCCTAGCAGAATAAGATACAAATATGAAATAAAAATCAAGATAGTCTGATTATAAGTTTTTATTTCTTATTAATGCATCTGACTTCTTATATCACGAATTTCTCCAAACTTCTTTGCCTTATTATATCTGATTGAGAAAAAATATTAATGCATGTGATAAGATTCTAATGCAGGCAATAATATGAGGATTTTTGAACGAATTTCGACGAAAAAGACTCAAAAAGCCAAATACTTCATATGGATCTATGATGGAAAAACTTTCTACCCTCTGAACATATGCTGAATAATTGCATAATAAATCAAACTAGTTAAAATGCTCCCTTTTTTTAAATGCGATGGAAAATAGCATTTGAATTTCTCAGATGGAAGCATAACTTTGAGTCAGCTTAGATTTAAATTTATGTAGTCTTTGATTAATAAGCCTACGCTTTAAATTAAAATTTACTTTTCATTTAGTTGCATCAGCACCGTTGCGGTTGATTTTGTTAGCACAAAAGCATGCCTTGATGTTCTAATTTCTGTTTAGTAAAAAAGGTTAATAAAAATCTTTCCATAGCATGCACTTTTTTTTTTAGGCACAGCGATAATTCGCTTCGTCTGATAAGCTAACAGTTTCTAATCAAATACAACCCTATAATATGAAGTGCAAATAATGTGTAGGCATTGAGTTACTGAGAATAAATGGATGCAGTCTATTGACGCTCTGGGCCTAGTTAGACTTTTGCGGCCAAGACAAAACAACAAGAGTATGGTATCTAGTCGGCTCCGTGGATTATCGCCAACATATTCATTTATGGTAACATTTATGGCATGGTTCATTTTGGTATATTTATGGTATTTTTTAATTTTCACCACCTTGTAATATATGTATTTATACAAATCCAGACATTTGGCCACTAAGACATTAGCCTTGATCTTGCTTCCCAATACTTAAGAGCAACAGAATGAAAAGATACTGGTGCACTGCATTTCTCAATATGATCCTTACCCATGGACTGCCCAGAGTTAAGAGTACAGACAGAAAAATCCTTAAGTCGAATTTTAAAAAGGTGGACATTCAGACAATCGTGCCCACCTTGTAATACATTTTTCCCGACAAGAGCAATAGCACAAACTGACGAAGTTAAAGAAAGTAAGCCCAATCTGAAGATAAACCATGCATGCCCACTTAAAATTTTCGAAAAATAACTGAAGAGTTGGAAACGATAATTTGGTACAAATGCAATAGTTTGTAATGGAAACTATGTCGAGTGGTACCTTAGCAAAGAGGAAAAATCATTCCAACATCAGGATTTTGAATGTTTTGCATTCGTTAATTAAAATGTTAGGCCGACCTTAGCATTATTTTCAGTACAGCCTAAATTTTCAAAGCCGTGAAGTATTCAGGAATGTATTTACTTACAAGAATATCCTCTTTCGCATCAGGAAATTTTAGCTTTAAATTTCCAGAAGCAGCTAGTACTGCTTTTACTGCTCTCATTCCATAGTCATAATGATTTTGAGATGACAACTGCTCAGAACATAAACGGTAAGTTGTTACAATTTTGACAGCCAAATTACGAGCATCTAGATATCCAAATGAATATAGAGAGATCTCTCCGATCATTGCATAATCTGGAACCATCATGGCAACAGTGCGGAACAAGACCTAAGAAGAACAAGCACTGAAATTTTCAATATAATGCAGATTGCATAATTGAAGAATAAAATTTTATCAATATTAAAAAAAGAATTAGTAATGAAAGAAATTTACCTTCAAGTTATCTGGAAGCTCAGATCGCCCAGCATAGCCAGGATTCATAGTAATGCAAACATAGCAGTTGGGATTCAATTTCAGCTCAGTGCCTTCGAAGTTAAAACTATCTACATTTGCACGTACTGCCCGTATAATACACAGAATCTATATAAAATTTACTTTTAATGTGAGTAATTCTGTAGGAGTTTATTTTTTTTTCGAAAATTAAAGTAACATAATTATTAAGATAAAAATAAGTAAAACAATTAGTAAGAGTAAAAATAAGTTTTCTTTATTTTTAACTGAACTTTACATCGTTTATGTTTAATGAAGGGAAACGCAGCCTTTTTCTTACATCGACTACTTTTTTAAAAGAATAGTTTCCTTCAGCGATCCCCTTACATTTTTCTCTGTAATATATAGCATACAACATAATAATAACACAAATAATTGCGCATCCGTAACTTAAAGGTAACATTAGACTAAGAATATAAATAAAAGTTTTAAAGAGTCGTATATTAGATTTATGCTTTATTATTATTTGCATTCTTATTATTTTTAGTTTTACAAATATAAACAAGTTATCAGGCACAAAGTTATACAATTGGCCAGAAGTTCGATTTTTAATTATTACCACGGCTGTGCTTAATACATTGAAATAATTTTTTAATACGGGGCATAAAATTGCTTAACTTAATTCAAAAATCACTTCGTTCAGAAATATTCAATTTGCTTCTTGTTATAAATACTAAGTTACTAACTTGACTCAAGCCTGCTTCCACTGGGTAAGAAGAGAGAAAAATTCAATAATGTCAGTCAGGTAATAGCACTAATTTTGCGAAATTTTCCTCGAATGAAGTTTAAATTCTAAAATTTAAGGTACCTTTATGTTTTGAAAAAGACTTAATTTGTATGATAAAGTTTTATATTAAAAAAATTAATTATCAGTTTTATACCATTTTTTGTAGCCTATGGAATATTGATTGTGTCGATGAGTTGCTGGTGCATAATCGACTAGCGACCCCCCAATCCACCTATTGATCATCACATAACCCTTTGAAATTTCATCGACTCCCAGAGGCTCCATATGACCCCGTTGGGAACCCCTTGTTTAAAGTACTGAAAAATAATTGAAACATTCGACTTCTCTTTTCTCTGATCAGAAGAATATGAAAAACTGAAAGTTTCTCAATATGAACTGAGGAATCACCTGTTTTGGCAGAATTGATTCCAAAATTTAAAAAACACATTAATATACATATGCATTGCAAAAATTGGGTTAGAGTTTTTCCTCAAGGGGGCCCAAATTTAAAATGTATTATAATATAAAAAAATCTGATGTGTACCCCACATGACTTCCTTGTACGGAATATTAAATTATACGCATTTTTTCTTGCATTTCATTTAAACTTATTGAATTGAATTAAATCTATTTCGCCGACAGCGCATAAACCACAATAGAATAAATGCATTCTTTAAAATTCACTCTAGTATTTGTTTACCACTAGTATTTGTTACTCTAGTATTTGTAGCGACACTCTGGCGCTAGATTCACTTAACAGTATTATATTTCGTTCATATTATAACTCATAATGCACAAAATTTATATCATTTAAACATGTTCTCTTCAAATACTATAATAAAGCTAGAACGATGTATAAAAGAATTTAAGCAAACAAAACAAAAAAGAAACAGTTTTTCACAGACGATTGAGTATTTCTCATTCAATTAATTCAGTTCTCTTTTCGCGAGAAGGGAAAAATACATAAAAACTCAAAATATCTATGTTAAAAATTACGAAGTAAATCTTAAACACTCATTTCCTCGAAAAAAATTCCAGAAAGGATTAGGCATGATTTAATTGGCAATAATAAATGAAGGCGTTATCTTTGTTGTTGCGAAGCTAAGTTTCTCTACATTGGCAACAAATCCACTAGTCTGCTGTTTCAAATGTAAACAATCAATGGCCGCCATAAAAAACGGCTTAGCGGCACTTAAACAACTTTAAAATTGTTGATAGTTCTAAACATATTCCATACAGATTTACTAAAGGCATAAAAACCTTAACCGGAAAATAACAACAACATAATTCAATCATTTTTTAAGAAAAAAATGTACAATTTACAAACATATAAGAGTAAAGAAACTGAGGTCAATAAGCCGGGTAACAGAGTGGATATATTTATAAATATATTTATATACGTTTTGTGCGGCCGATTGCAACCAAAATACGAGGTGCACATCTACATGTTATAGCAGTCCCTATATACAAAATTTCAACATTCTGAGGCTATTCGTTTTTGAGTTATGCGAGATACGTACGTACGTACGTTCGTACAGACGCCACAAAAAATTCTCTTCAGAATTCAATTTAATGCAGTTTTATAATTTTTTTGGAGGAAAAGAATCTTTTATTCTGTCCTTACGTACAGATATCCCGCAAAAACATCGTTAAATTGCATTCGATAGTGGTCAAAATGGATATTTTCGTTGAAATATGCTGCCTGAAACTTTTCGGGATTACAATACTTCCTTTTTACTTCGTACAAGGAAAGGAAAATGACAATGAATTATGCCAATCTCTTAAAAACAGTGACATAAGAAATACGAGGAAAAGTTGTTGCCAAACCCATATTTCTAAAAGAATAAAACTATTCAAAATGATGCGATTTCATCAAAAATCTATCAACAACAATAAGAAAGGAAAATTGTTGCCAAAATCACATTTTTAAAGATGTGAGATGTGAGAAGTGTACTCGGAAGCTTCATTTAAAAAAATTTTAAAGAATACAAAATATTATCATTTTTCACGAATTCTTTTTGTAAAAGCAGTCGCAAGGATGAAAGTTTAACGTGTCCAAAAATCAAAGAAAAATAAACTGTACATATTTAAAAATAAACTTTTTTAGAAAAAATCCCTTTGAAAAGGTGTTAAGCTCCCTTTGTTAAATAAATTCGTATTTGATCGATTTATTGAAACAGGAAATTTATTTTAAGTTCGTAAAACAGCTAAGTGCCTACGTTTCATGAGGATGTGAAAATGGAGTGTGTAGAGTAAAATCTCGCTTTCCTATAGTCCATTATGTCTCAAAATGACGCGATTTCGTCACAAAACATTAAAAAAAAATTATAATTCGAATTTTGAAAAAATCGCTTCGAGGTGCACTGGCTCTAGTCTAGATTCACCTATGTACCAAATTTTGTAGCCGTGGGTCTATTAGCTTACGTGCAAAGCGCGAACGAAAGACACACACACACACACACAAACAGACTCTTTCTTTTATTATATGTAGAGATTCCCTATTAAACGTTTGCGTTTCATGGTATTGATTCATTTAAATGAACAATGTGATATCATACATATTTTCGCATATACATTTCAATGCACAATAATTAATTCACAGATGTATGTAAAATTAATTTAGAAACTTGTTGCAGATTATTTTTGCTTTCCATGTACAATGTTCTTGAAAGGGAATTCAATATTGTATCCATTAGCTAAATTAATGATATGAAATATATGTTTATAAGTGTCATGCGAAATATAATCCTAATGTTAAAATGAAATTTATCAGGTAGCATACCTGCTGAGCAACCACTGAAAGCACTTCTAGCTCGATACGGTTAAATTCATCAAAGCATGCCCAGGCTCCAGAAGAAGCAAGCCCTTTAAAAAACTATAAGCAGAAAGGTTTTGTTAAAAATTCTGAGTTTATTATACATATGTTAAAATAGCATACTTAATGTTACAATTAATATAATAGTATTATAATCAATATTAGCATTTTAGGTATTAATTTCATGACATTGCAGCGCAATAAACACATCATATAATTGTTACCTTTAACACCCTGTTCAGAAATTTAGTAATAATGAAAATAAATTAAATAAGTCAATATATTTTTGATTAAAATATAGTAGTGTGAAATAATATAAGCATACAAACTATCAGAGTTTTATAAATTTATAAAAAAAACAATAAATACTAGAAGTTACTGATTTACTGATATTATTAATTAATCATTTAGTTTCCAGCCTATAATTAAGTGGCATTTTACAGATGATTCAAGCATCTTACTAATATCTACATAGTATAAGTTTTTAACCATAGCATTGTACACTGCTAAAAAAAAAAAAAAAAAAAAGGGGGGGACAGTTTTATATCTCCCGTTCTACTGGGCCGATTGACAAAGTTCAAATTGCGTTCTTCATGTCTCGAAAGCGCGACTTAGGATATATATTATATTTATATCTAGCACTATTCTAATATAGGTATTTTGACACAAAATCGGACTTTTTCTGAAATAACTTACCAATTTTTTTACATATTTCGATTCTTCAACTCAAATTACGCCTAAATATGAAATTTTGTAAAATTTGGAGCAAAATTTACGGAGAAATTCACAAATTTACGTTGGCACTTTTTTTTCAGATTGCGCCAAGAATAGTTCACTTGGCGAACTTTTTAATATATGGCAACCTAATTTCTTTCCCGTGAGAGGAAAAAAAAAGTCACCATCGTTCCTTTTTTTCCAAATAATATTTTTTATATTATATTTTTAATTATAACTTTTATTTTAAGTAATTTTTTTCTTTTACGATTTTCATTTAATTGTTTTAAGTTCCACGTTTTTTTTTTTTTTTTTTTTTTTTTTTTTTTTTTTTTTGGAATAACTGTTTTAAAATTTTATTTACCTATTCGAACTGCGTGAATAAAGGTGCAGCGTTTGTTTTATTTCAAATAGTTTTCTTTTATATATTTTTGTCATAGTTATTATTTTAGGTAATTTTTAAATTTTTATACTTTTATTTTTAATTGTTTGTGTTGCATTGTCTCTTCAGATAACTGTTTTAAAATTTTCTATTTATTCCTTCGAACCGAGCATTTTAAATATATTTATAATTATAAATTTTTCAGAATTTGATTTTATTTATTTGAATTGCTTTTCTTTCGGAAGAATACTTTGTAAACCAGACTACGATGCGTTTAAAAACTGCATATATTAAAAGAGAAAATACAGTAAAGCACAGTTCACACGCCTTTCAACGTTCCGTTCAGAAAAGATATATATAAATAAGAGAGATGTATAACCGACATTCTAACTTAGGATGACTTGCTTTAAACAGTTTTATCATTGTGCCCATTGCTTTACACAATTTTATCCTACATTTGATTTCTTAAAATGTTATTCATATTTTATTTTTGTCAAATATTTTATTTTTGAAATCGCAAGAATCAAATATCATAAGATTAAAAGGTTTTAAATTTAAAAAAAATACTAAATTTTACGCAAAAATGCATTTTTTCTTCTCTTTTTCTTCAGGCATTCTACTTTATTCTTGGTCTTTTTCTTTAATCATTCTTTCTGCAAGTACATTAAAAAGCCCCAACTTTTCGAAATATCTTGATATTTCTGACAATCATTTTAAATAAAGTGATCGCCTTTCATTTCATAAAGACCCCAAAACGGCCGAGCAGTAAAGTCGCTGAACACTGGTAGTTTACTCCGGGGTTCGAATCCTGCTAAACGGGCTGGTTGCATGGGCGTTTTCGTGGATTTTCTCATGTGTACCGTGTATGCCAGCTGGTTTCCCTTAGAAAGTTCTTCACGAAGTATTTGGTCAGAGCCTTTATCAGTCTTTAGAGGCTAAACATTTTGAAGGTATGAGATGAAAGGAAAGACTGGTTTCATCAAGAGGTTTTGGTTTATTTAATTATGACAATGCACACTAGGGCTATCTGCCTAAGGGCAGAACTTTCTAATGGAAGCTGGACTCGCATACACGTTACACATGGGAAAAACCACGAACACGCCCATGCAGCCAGCCCGTTCGCGAGATTCGAACCTCGGACCGAACTACCAGTGTTCAACGACTTTACCGCTCGACCGCTGTTTTATCAGGAGGAAAAAAAAAACATCTTTAGGTGACATCCACGTACATCACTAGATAAACTCCTGAATCTTCAAATAATTCGACTGAGAAAATCATGGGATTCTCCTTTTATGATACGATATGATGTTCTATAACGTAATTTAAATTTATACAACCATATAGTCTAAAACCAGTCGCTCTTCACTTTAATCTGCAATGATATCGTTTTTGTCTTTTCTGTTAACACAAGCTCAATTGATGGTATTTGCTGGTGTACACTTCCAAGTGTTTTCTCTTTGAATACCTAAATTCTTTGAAGTATCCTGAATGTACATTCAAAAGCGTCCAACTTTTCGAAACATTTTGGTATGTCTGACAGCCAAATTTCCCTGCAAATTTTTGCTTACTATTCTCCCTAATTTTCTTCTTTCCTTCTACAGTTAGTTTCAATGCTCACACAAGAAAATTAAGATTTTTCGATTGCTAGACTTCCATAAATTTTGCATTCTTGTCAATTTTTTAAAATATCAATTACATGAATTGCGTTGCAGCTGAAGATAGCTTTTCATTTTCTAGTCATTTTAAGTATAAATAAAGTTTAAAGCGAAGTCCAAAGGATAAATATTTTAATTAAAAGATTTTTGCTAAATGACAAAGAAATAAAACAGTCCAGCAGGGTTTATTCTGTACCACCGAGTAACCCGATTTCTATATCGGCTGATCGGCTGAAAACAATCTAAATCATATTAAAGATCATGTTTTTTTATACAATTTATAACGCAAGAGAAAAGTTAGCTTCTTAAAACATTCTTTCTAAGAGGATTAATATAAAAGATTATATTTATGTATATATTTTTAAAGCTCGGACTTGAACCAAACCGTCAAACTTTTAAAGTTTAATTTACATGGTGGTTATAATTAAAGTTCCAATTTGAAATGGCCATAAAAGGAAAACTACCGGACCAAATTTTATCAAACTTGGAAATCGTGTAAAGGAGGTTATGGGAATTTGTTTTCCGAGGAAAAAAAGAGTTCAAAAACTCCCCACCAGGGGAAAATGGGCGCTGTATACAATATTGTTAAATGAAATAAGAAGTAGAAACATCTGTTTACAATGTGTTTAGTAGTTTCCGAAACGTGTTACAAAGCATGTTCAATGTAGCGTCCAGCATTTTCCGAAAGCAAGTTAAATCCTGTTATTGCATTCTCAACAGCAGCTCTTAGCATATCAGGAGGAATGTTACAGACATGTCAGTGTATCACATTTTTCATTTCTGCAAAATTGTTTAGATTATCACCATAAACAGTGCTTTTGAGATAACCCCATAGCCAAAAGTCACAGAGGTTGAGTTCTGGTGGGAAGTGTCGGCCTATAAGACGTTCATTCGTGAAATGTTGCTTAGTAACTGTGCGACACATGTGAGGTGGGGCCCAGCCGTGCATAAAAGTCGCTGTATCTAAAATGCCACGTTACTGCAGTTCATGTATCGCGAAACATTTTAACATTGATTCTAAGTGAGCTGCAATCACAGTGGTCCAGCTGTCGACTGCTCTTCAGAGAAAAATGGTTCAGTTATAAAACTAACTGTCATTCAACACTAAACGGTGTGGAATGACTGCTATGCAATCGAATGCAGTAGGAAAATGCAATGGAACTAGATAGATAACATGAGGGATTTCTTTGGCCCAAATCGATTAAAAGCGTTTTGAATCAGTATCTTCATGTTTTAGTGCCGAATTCAGGCTTCAAAAATTACAAATTACCGATCTGTAAGAAAACGATTTCCAGATTGTACGCACTTGTGCGAGTGATTTCAGATCTCACATTTTCTAATCGCTAATTCGTGGTTTTCACAGACGAATTTCTCACTGACACGGATGGCGCACTCGACTTTTATCGAATTTAACGCCTTCAAATGGTAATTTGCCTACTTTCTTATTTACTTAAGTTTCTTAAGTGTATACAACTCATTGAACCCGTGTAACAAAAGGTTAAGTTAGATTCCGACCCATATTTCGTTTAACAATATTGCATACAGCGCCATTTCCCCCCTGGTGGTAAGGTTTCGAACTTCCCTTGTTTCGCGAAAAATAAATTCCCATGATCTCCTTTACACGATTACCAAGTTTGATAACATTTGATCCAGTAGTTTTCCTTTTATGACCGTTTCAATGTGGAACTTTAATTATAACCACTCTGTATATTATTAAATTTTAATTTGAAGCTATGCGTTATATGTATACCATGCGTAAATTTTTCGCTTTTATCAAAAAATAAAGAACCGAAGCAAATATACTTAGTATAATGGACCAAAATTGAAAACATTTTCCCTCCCTCCGAAAATAAAATATTGAAACTTCGACCTTGAATTTATTGGGTTATCGAAATATTTAATTTGACGTATCTTCTAAGTCCTAGTTCCGACAACAATTCCGTCAAAAATTCCGAATTACTTAAGCTGAAGTAAAAGATTTAGTATATATTCACTGTATGTTAATAAAGTAATCAGAGTGTAATAAAAATACACTATAGAATTTACGCTGATGCAACTTTTTATCTGACTGCACAACATGCAATGGAAGAGAAGGCCTTGTAGAGATCTGTTTTTGACATGCCTCTAAAAGTAGATGTTATACTCCTTTTGTCTCTTCAATGTCAAAATCTTTCCTTTTAAAGGCAACTTTAGTTTTTGGGAAAGAAAAAAAATCACAAGAAGACAAACTTGAAGAACATGCAGGACGATTAAGTACACATACTTATTTTCGGACACAAGCGGTTCTCCGACTGGTTATTGAATAATGAAAAGATGCATTGTCATGCAATGCAAAAGATTTGGAATACGTTTTCTAACAGAAAACGTAAGATTAAACGTCATCTCCTTAATTCACAGCCATTTACAAGTCAACTACTCGGGCAATTGCAGAATCGTTTTGATCCTGAGCTTGTAAGACAAACCTAATATCACTGGATTTAAACATTTCTTTAATCTTCCGAGAACGTTCCTTCTTTTAGCTCATATTCCAAAGAATATTAAGTGAATATAATTATTGCAAAAGAAATTGAATATTCATTTGCACTACGTCTTGGTAGTATACTAACGAACTAACAAAACTTAAAGTCTGCTTTTTGTGTCTAAGACTAACAATATTTTAAATATTTACAAATAAAATATTCAATTGGAGATTTAATTGGAGCCTCACCAGTTGCCTAGCATTTGAAGATTGTTAAATACTAATTGTTTGTTGCGAAGTCTAACCAAGCCTGCATGGTTGGTTTTCGTAGTTTTCTGGGTACTCTTTACAAAGGTTTTCTATGAAAGAATCTTAATCAAATAGCTCTTTCTATTTTCAAATAACCAATTAACCTAGTTTAAGCGCGATTTCCAAGTGAAGTTACTAGCAAAACCCGAATACTCATTTAAAATCATGTAGCTTGCCAATCGGGAGTAACATGAAAGATACGGCGCCAGTAATTGAATTGCTGATACGGTAGCTGTTTCTAAACTTAGATGGTCATTCCTTACTTAAATAGCCCACCAGCGGCCCGTGCGGTAAAGACGCTGAACACTGGTAGTTGTTCCGAGGTTCGAATCCCGCGAACGGGCTGGCCGCATGGGCGTTTTCGTGGTTTTCCCCATGTGTAACGTGTATGCGAGCCAGCTTCCTTTAGTCCTCCATTATTTAGTCTTCCTTTAGTCCTGTATGCGAGCCATCTTCCTTTAGTCCAGGCATCCCTCCCTTTAGGCAGACAGCCCTCATTTGCTTTGCCATAATTAAATAATCCAATCCTTAATTAAATATAATTGATTTGTAACTTCTACTAAAGCTGACGGTAAGAATTGAAGTGCAAATAAATAATATTGTAAGCAATCTACATTAATATAAAATTAAAAATATTTGCATAGAAAAATATTTGCATTCAGACAGAAAGTTTTTTGAAATATTTGCAATTACTTTATAAGAAGGATTTATTAATAACCGTAATAATTACTTATTATATTACGGATGATTAGGATTCAGTTCTTGACAATTACATTTTAAATTAGAATTTTAAGGATATAATGAAAATACGCTACGCACAAAAATACATTTTAGGATAAAAAATGAGTTGATTTTTTATGTTTTAAAACTTCTTGAATTCATTTAATGAACATCGTATCATCGTTGTTAATTGAATCCAAAATGTTGGGTGTCGTTTATATAATTATTCTTACTTGATTTCAGTCTCTAGAGGGTTGTATGTTTATATCATAATTTGACTTTTATAAAAATTATTATTCTAAATCTTATGTTTCTATAAAAATATACTGTGCTTTAAAAATATGGATGATAGTATCAGCCGCTCTTTCAGCCACTTCATAAGCAACAGTTTCTTTAGAAATAAATTATGCAGTTAGTGTCATAAAATATTTTCATAAAATTCAAATAAAACATCAAACGAAAATTCTCAGTTTTAGACAATTCGATTTAAACGAAGTACAGAAGCAGACGATAAAACGCCGAAGGTAAAAATTTACTCTTACAAAAATTTACTCTTATTTTTCCAAAAAAGAAAGATAGAGAGAAATTTAAAAAAATAGTTAAAAATTTGAATAATATAATCTAAAATAAAAAAAAATAGCTTTTCATATAGTATTAATAAATATTTATACGCATCATTGAGGGAAAAGGGAAAAAATTTCATATAATTAATTCTCCGTAAAATTTTACTTGAAATTTAAGGTTAAAAATAGCTGTGGCAATTAACTGTAACAAAAAGCCATAGACCATATTTGGCGTTATTATCACTCAAAAAAAAAAAAAAAATTTCAAAACGCGAAAATATGTAAATTCATGTATTATCTGAGAAAATTTTGAATAAAAAAGTCTAATTTTTTGCAGATATGCTTAAAAATACACCTACTTAAGATGATGGTAAAATTTTATAGGTTTATAACTCAAAATGTTTTGAAAAAAAATTTTCAAAAATTATTTTAAAAATAGAAATTTAAAAAAATAAAGCACAAAAAATGGGTAAATTTTATTTGGAATGAACCTAAATTTCGAAATGTGAAAGGAAAAATAATAAAAGTTTAATAAAAAAAGAGATATTAAACAAATATTTACCAAATTCAATTAACATTGAGGAGCTAAAATTTTGAGAGTTAATATTTTAAAAACTACTCGTACGATTTGTACAAAACTTGGTATTCCGGCATAATTTGAGTCGTAGAATCGAAATATGGAAAAATATTCATATGTTATTTCAGAAAAAGTCCGATTTTGTGTCAAAATACCTATGTTAGAATAGTGCTATATATAAATCTAATATATATCCTAAGTCGCGCTTTCGAAACATGAAAAACGCAGTTTGAATTTTGTCAATCAGCCCAGTAGAACGGGAGATATAGCACTGTCCCATTTTTTGGGGGGGGAGCAGTGTACATTAATTTTGAGCCTGCGAAAAAATACAGTGGAGTCTATAGCATGGTTAGTAGTCTATAGTGCGGTTTGCTAATTAATGCCATTTAATGTAAAATACATTAATGCATTTATACTGAAAGGTAATTCGTCATTAAAATTTAGTCGTTTACACACTAATTAACATTTTATACATAATATTTATTTTACAATACCTAATAAATTATAAAAAATTAACCAAAAATATTTAATCAAATATTGTATATAAAAAACTAAGTTTACGTAGTAATGGAAAATACATTCTTTTCTGTTGATATAATCCATTCCTTTAATTCATATACGCAACTTTACTATATTCATGAGCCTGTAGATTTTAACAGAAAAATAACACTATACTAAAACAACTATTACCTTTCCCATGGCAATATAATCTAATCCATCCGAGCAATTAAAAACCACACATTGAACGGCTAAAGCTTTTGCTAAATCTTTAGTTGTCTCTGTTTTTCCTGTACCTGCAGGTCCTTCTGGGGCACCATTTAAATGAAGATGAAAGGCTCCGACGAGAGTGCGATAACAACGATCGGTGAGTGGAGTTATAACCAGTCTATATAAATATAACAACTGCATAAATTTTATATGCAAACAAACACGAACAAGTATCAGCGTCAAAACTGAGTAAAAATGATATTACAAGGCTTGAATAAAAAGTTTTAAGAATTCGTCTATATTATTCTAACAGATGTTTGTATTATGATATTAGAAGTCTGTTCATGGGTCGCGAAGATCATCAGCGTGTCTGAACTTAGACAGATACGGTTTGTAATATTTGCTCACAGAAAATGGCGGCACTTTGAAAGACTGAGAAGGGCAGTTGCATGAAAATACAATAGACATATGATTGGAATTTGTGTGTTAGAGGATATTTATTCGGGAAAAGAAGTAATGAAACAATTGGAATGTTACAGGATAGTGCATATGGTGGAATACTTAGCAGCTTCAATATTCAGCGACAGATACTTCAAAGACAGTAACAATAAAGCAAGTTTAAATAATAACAAGTTTGGTCGATAAAGCAAGTTCTCATATTTCATCCAGTACACTTACAGATGTCAACACTATCAACTTATAAACAAACTGCGAACACAGACGATTATACAAAGGTTCTGAAAATCAGATTTGCTTGAATTGAGGAAAATAAAAGCCCTTTCTCAATTTTTGCTCAAGAAATAGTTGTTTTGATCCAGAACAATGTCCAGCCGCATGTTGCTGCTATAGCACTGATTGAAACGAACAGGGCAGAAATGAAATATTTTTCAGATAACCATGGTCTAGAACTAAATGCATCAGCGGCCGAGCGGTAGAATCATTGAAAACTAGTATTTCGACTCGGCTTCATATCCTGTCAAGAGAGCTGGTTGCAAAGCAATTTTCGAGGATTTCCAAATTTGTAACATGAATACAAACCGGTTTTCTTTAAAAGTCCTCCACAAGGGCATACTTCCCCTTGGGCAGACAGCCCTCGAGTGCTTTGCTGTAATTTAAGTAATCCAATCCAATCTAGAACCAAGTTATTTCCGGACATTCTTAACGTGGAAAAGACAACTGCGCAAAAGAAATTATTTTCAGATGTCCAAATGAAATATATTACGTTTTGCGGTAATGAAAGAAATCTCATACAGGAGCCTGTTAAATGATTTTGAATTTCTCATAAAAAGTTGTGAAAACGCACTTTCATATATGCAATGCGTTAATTCACAGTGCATAATGAATTTATGAATTCAATATTTATGTACAAATTCTTAATGTATTTAATATATTACCATTTAAACAAAATTTTTTATTGAATGTGCTCCATTTCTTAAAGAGCTAGCGAAAAGGATTATGCAGCTAAAAAGAGGGTGATTTTCTTTCTCAGGTTACTACCCACTTGGATCACTGGTCGGCGGACAGAGGCTCCCGCCCCTTAACTCTTTGAGGGGTAGGAAAAGGCCTCTCAAAGAAACTTTTTCAGCAAAACTCTTGTTATTTACTGTATCAGGTGTTACAGTAAATTATTTGCGACAATTAAACGTATTTTGTCAAAGACGCGTGAAAACAAATGACCACTTCTGGTGGTTAGTGTCAATGACCACCACCCACAGAACACATTCCTAGAAATCAGTCTCTATGGTACTCATGGAAACAGTTTTTCTTTTTCAAGCAGAATGCAACTTTGCATGTGCTGCATTCTCACACTATTCTTACAGGCTCTTTCTTGATGCTGCAGAGTGCATATCGTCGTGATATTGTCTTCGATGGTGATGATTTTCCTTGAAAACGGAATGCTGCATCAATACTGGCTTATGTTTTTGATTGCCATCTAGTGAGCTAGAAGGGAACTTCAGAAACGGTCAGTCTTGAAAACCACTCACACAAGTGAGTAAGACGTTCAGTAGAAAAGGTGGTTACTGTAGGTAACCAACGCCCTTCAAAGAGCTAACTTTCGAAACCGTACACATGTTCATGGGAGGGAAGAGAATTTCGGCTTCGTCTGAAGTGGAAAATTTTCTGGTTTGTTTATTACTGCCGTTGTCACAGCTGTGACTGAAATACGGTTAAAAACATTCCTTGAAGTTTTGCCTGACAACAGGGTACGTCATAATTAAAAGGGGGCTACAATTTTCTTGGAAAATTGGCTATAACTTATTGCCCTTTTCTCGTTGATTGGACTTAGATGCAGTCCTTATTTTAGAGATGCCTAGGTTTTAAAAGCTGTCGAACGAGAAGCAGGAACGAATTTTTTACCTTATTGAAGATTACGAAGAGAAGGGGGGGTAGATATAGAGAAATAAGGTTTCAACCGCGGTCTGCTAATTCAGGTTTCCTGGTGAAAAAGAATTTGATTGTCGAGTTTCTTCACAGCCGTGCCTGTCACGTATGAAAAGCCGTTTGAGAATAATTAAAGAGTGACAGTGTTCCCGTAGCCGACAAGATAAGCTCTTTTCATTTCCCTGGAAAAGGTCATACTAGTTACAGAAAAATTTCGGGTTTTTTGTCAGCATTCCCGTTTACTAAGACATACTTTTGAAGCAAGATTCAGCATGTCGCTAAAAAAAGAACAAGGGTGAAGAATATTCAATTTGAACAGTACAACATGCAACTGCATTCCTTTCTTTGAACTAATGGACATAAGATTTCGCTAAGAAGAGAACAAATGGCAAAGAATATTTGATTTGGACAGTGCAACATGCAACTGTATTGTTATCTTCAGAGATTGATGTACATTAATAAACATTTAACTCTGCTGAGGCTTATCAAGTGGGACATTTGTAATGGAGACCTTATTTGAGTTTTCTTTCTACTATTTTCTAATGCTATTGTTTTATCAAGTTATGGTCATTTTATTTTATCTGAAATTAATTGGTCGACAATGTATTTCAAATTTTAATTACAGAATAATGGATTGTGTTAATTAGATTTAATTACAGAATAATGGATTGTGTTAAGTTTTAATTACAGAATAATGGTGGTTTTAAAATTTATGCGTGAAAAGGATAATTCAGTTACTCTTAATTTCTTAGAGTAATTGAAAATGATTTGTAACGTGTACGCTAAGTATTGGTATGCTGCAGAAATATTTGAATATGTGAGATTTAAGGGTTAATAAAATCCAATTGAAATTTAAGTAAGAAAAGCAAATATCTTTTGACTATCAAACCAAATATCGTACATTAATATGTTATGTTCAAATTGGCAATTCATTTTATTTTCGATGAATTTCGCTTTAATAGAAATGACTTGAAATGTGGATGTAGGGATAGTCTCACCAGCTATTATAATATATGTTAATCATTGACTAATAAATGTGGTTTAATTTTTAATTTTTCCTTGTGTTTATTTTAAGGATCTATCATGTCCCCCATATGATCTTTAGGGAAAACATGGCTCTTCTAAATTGAACCTGGGTAACTTATTGCGGTGTAGTTGTGGAATTTATTATTTACGTGCATTTGAATTATACGACCTGATTTCATATTTTATTTTAAATGTTGATTGAATTTTTACTTGTGTGAATTACCCTTCCGTGGTGTTTTGAGGGTTATGTATTTGTATTTCAATGAAAGAAGTTTGTGCTATCTCTTGAGTTTAGGAATATATTTAAGTGTTTTCAGTGAAGTCCCAGAATACAGCATTATTTTAAAGAGAGATATTACTTATGTAAAGGGGTCGTTTTAGATAGGGTCATAGGAGAGTCCGGTATAATGTAACAAATATTTATTAACAGGTTTAAGTTACACACGGACATTACATTTAACTTAAGAAAAAATTACAGGCAACGTTGGTACCAACCGATCAGTGTGAGCCTTGGCTTTTACTAAAGTCTTCTTCGGCTACTCACCAGAGGGCAGCATTGTTGCCACAGGTGTCCCAATAGTTTATGTTAGGGATTGGTTCAAAACTCCCCCTCTGGCTCGCGACGTCCCGGCACAGGCGACAGAACTGGAGGGGATTGGGAGCTCTTGGTGGACATGCTTAGTCTCAGTTTTTTTTTTTTTTTTTTTTTTTTTTTTTTTTTTTTTTTTTTCCTGGGCAAGGGGTCTTCTCTTGGAGCACTGTACGGAAAACACAAAGTTCTGATTATTTCGGGAACGAGAAGTAGTAAACTTTGGCGGTTTTCTACCTCTCTTCCTTGAGCGGCAAGAATGGGAGAAGTGGACGAGTCTTTGAAAGGTGTTTTGCAGACCGATATGGTACGTTCCTAGGGGTCTGATTAGTTTAGAAGGCTTGAAATAACATCATGGAAGTAGGTTATTTCTGTGTCATTACCAAGCATGGACCATCAACTGGTCAAACTTTGAAGTCTTTTTGTTTTGGCATTGCTAACGGGATGTACAATTGACCCATACCTTATCACCTGGTGAAATAAACCATTTGTTCGCCTTCCTTATTATATTGCTTTTACGTTGATCTTGCTTATTTCGATTACGCTCTCGATATATGGCCTTTGGAATAGTTGCTACTCGTTTAAGAAGGGGTGATTTCAGGAACAAAGTATAATTTCAACCACAGCTTGGGAAATCGTGAACATCGTCGACGTCCTAAGATCTTTCCAAACATTAGGAATGCTGGTGTATGGCCTGTAGTGTCACAGACTGACCGCATTTCATACGAAGCGAAAAAACTGGAGTGTGGAAGGCCATTTGTCAGCGGCCTTCCTTATAGGATTGCAGACGAGGTGTTAATCTCTATTTTTCGGTCGACAGGATTTGACATGAGGAGCGGAAAGTTAACTGGTATAAGTTTGATGATATTTAATGTGTGCAGCAAACTTGCTGCATGACGCACTGATAAAAATGGGTGGCAGTATCGCTGCTGATTCTTCGTGGTTATACCTGCCGCTGAATAATCTTCGATGAGGGTTATAGCGCAGTCGCGTGCTGTAGCTTGAGAAATAGGAAATAATTTAACCGATCGCGTAGCACAGTCGTCGACAATGAAGATCCATTGTTTTCCAATCAGTAAGTATCAGGCTTTGGCAGTGGTCTAAACAAATCAATACATATGATCTCAAAACGTTGCGAATAGACAGGGGTTCTTAGCAATTCAGCTGGCCTTTGTTTGGTA